GCCGAGTTATAGGCTCGTAATACTACAATAGCTTGCTAAGTGAGGTTCAGTGCGCCATCTCGTTCGGAATTTCGCCCTTTCGTCCTCCCTGTATTTCCCACCCCGTCGCCTTTTTGAGCCTTGTTGGTTCGTTACAGAAGCCATCCCTTGTTTTTCAGGCCTAACTTCGGGTCAGGTCTCCGTCTCTGAGCCCGAAAACGCCATTCATAGAGCAGACTGCCTCCTTGTGAGAGCAATTCCTCGCTATCCTCGCACTACAGTATACGTCAAGTTGCGCTGTAGATGGGTTATATTCCATGCAGTCATAGAGTTGCCAAGGCCGTAGATAGGGAACTGCAAGGACCGCTGATTGAAGACTGCTCCCCGTGCTAATCACTGCAAATGCCACACGCTCCAGGAGCCCCCCAGCACTTTCCTTGGTGTCGCGAAAGGGATGCAGTTTCTGGAACTCGGAAAAGAATCTCTCGCAATTCGGAATCGGAACAAAGGCGTTGCTCCCATTTACAATCCTATAATAGGAAAGAAGGGCAAATGTAGTCAGAACGAAATGATGGGGAGCCAAGTCTGTCATTAATGAATATAGAGTTGTGTCACAGAATGCCTGGCCAGCAGGACTAACAGCCCACCAGTATGCATTATCAAATGGATTGGGCGGGGGCATGTTGGCGCGGAAACAAAGATTGAAGAAGAATCGGTTCTCTTCGGTGGCAAGGTAAGGCAGATCCGCTTGAACTTTCCTATGGCTTACATCAATACTCTATAATGTATGACCAAGTTTTAGGTATCACCTACCAGAAGAGATCGGGTGGATAGAAGCCGTTAGGAATGCCTCCTGGCGAAGAGAACGGAAATCCAGCAATGGGTACATACAGTGGACATTCCACAAGTCTGTTGTCGCTAGTTGGTTGTGGCGTCTTGCAAGCCCACCTATCTCCCTGGGAAGCTCTAGAGGATATAGGCAGAGCAGAGCCGAGTTGGGCCAACGGGCCGTGGGCTGGTGGGGAAACGTTTATGTATTCCGCATAACGTGACGGGCTATTCAGCTGCGTTGTAGTTCCTGAGGAAGGACTGCTACCTTTTATTGAGTCATTATGCATGTTGCCATTCGCTGAATCTAT